GATAGACCATGTCACAAAGAATGTTTTCATTGTAAATAACATGAGCATGTCGTGTTTGATGAATCCAAATTAGGAAGGTTGAGTATGGGATATTACCATTTTAAAAATAAAAAAATAAAAAAGAAATCTCCCACAGTTTGCATCATATAAGGTAAGGATTCTTAAATGGACCAAACATTTGAAAAGAAACCCAACTCAAGCAAGACATTGACTTACACTTCCCAAAAATCTTATCCTCGTTGGCTTTTTAAAATCTTACCGCCGAAGCATGACATTGACTTAAGAGTTACCAAAAATGTTGTCACTTTTCAAAAACTTTGTTATAAGAAACAACAATAAATTGGAGAACAGAAGAACTCCAGAACCCAGAATTGGAAACCAAATTTGGTAGGCTTAATTATTTGAAGGAAAACAAGATGTCCGGCGGTATTCCGGTGAATGCACGCAACGGAACCCCATGGTCCACCGGCCTCTGTGACTGCTTCGACGACATGAGATCATGTAATATCTTCATTCTCCTTCTCCATCTCTATTACTTACAATCATAAAATCACTGTTATCCAAAGTTTGTAAAAAATAATTTACTCCTTTTTGTTTATGCTTCTAAATTATTATTTATCTAATATTTTTTCAAAAATTTTATATCTCAACCAATTGAATTATATTTATGAATTTAATTTACAGGTTGTTGTACGTTATGGTGTCCATGCGTGTCTTTCGGGCAAGCTGCCGAGATCATAGATGAAGGATCAAGTTGTAAGCTTCATTCCATCCAATGCTAAACTGCTTCTAAATGATTTTATCGAATTATAAATATGAAAATCAAGCTCTAATATAAAACTCTCATAAATAGTTCGATTTTCATTTGGGTTCGATTCTCGATTGGGTCCAAAACTAGCGAAACCGAACCGAGTATGTGGTAGTAATAGTATTATTACAAGAAGTGGGTCTAATATTAAGTGTTTATATGTTTATGGTTGTGGATGCAGCCTGTTTGGGTCAGGCATCTATTTTCAGTGTGATAGCTTGCTTTACGCCCTGCGTATTCCTTTATACTTGCTATTATCGTTCTCGACTGAGGGCAAAGTATCAGCTTCAACAAACTCCCTGCAATGATTGCTGTGTTCACTTTTGGTGTTTGAGTTGTGCAATGTGTCAAGAGCATCGTGAGCTCAAGAATCGTGGTTTCGACCCCCATATTGGTAATCTCAACCTCTTCAATTTTCTTTAACTTTATTTTAAGTTCAAAAAATACTCTTACCACTCCTAATATAGACCAAACTACGATTTTTTTTTTTTTTTTTTTTTTTTTTTTTTTTTTTTTTTTTTTTTTTTTT